AGTGATCCATTGTATGTTCCAGATGAAAGGGTTTTTGTTACCGAGACACAGGTTATTCGAGAAACTCTATGGTAAGACCTATTAATCTATTAATAGTCTGGAAGACTTTACTAGTGAAAACTAAAACTTTTCATAAAGGAAAGTTTTCCATGTGCAAACTAGAAATAGGCCATTAAGAACAAAGTTCTTAATGACTTCTGACTTTTGACTGTAGTGATTGGGAGGTTTTGATAATACTTGCTTCTTTTTCCATTTTCAGTAATTTAATATAAATTTTGTTGGATTAGACCATCCCTTTTTTAATATCTGAGTTCAAAGCAAAGTTTGCTCTGACTGCTTTTACTAGAAAGAGTGTATTGATAAGAGTTGCCTGAGACACAGGCACTGGGAATTAATGCAGTGTGTAGCACTGTTATTGCTGAGCTCCGGGTCCTGTGCCCTCACAGTGAATTGTGGTACTGACATTCTGATAGTGTTAGACATTGGATGGTCTCTTTGGGTTGTCAGGTACATGGGGGAGGTGCTTTGATAACACTGTGTTGGACTTCTTTCTAAGATGATGTTGAAATATCTTGACTCTTGAAGTGAAGATGAAAATATGGATATCTTTGACTTTCTTGTCATCCCACTTGTTTTGTCCCCTAGTTTTCGATCTTCAATAAAAATTTTTTAAGCATACTGCAATGGCTGTTTTTCTAGACTTAAAAGTACATTCATATTTTCATTTCATTTCAGGTTACTTTCTGGGGTTAAAAAGCTCTTTATATTTCAGTTGATAGATGGGAAAGTAACTGTGAGAAACAATATTGTGTAGTAACCCATTTGACACACGTAAGTTATTTGAATTTATTGTAACTAATAATAAGATTTATATAATGGTGGCAATATAACTTTAGAACATTTTACAATATTAAAGTTAATTATTAAATATAGTTAAGATCTAAGAAGTAAAATCATGTATCTTTACAGTACTTAGACAACTCTTAATATTGTTTATTACTAATTTTGATTTGTGTTCTCTGATCTTTTTTCTTTCATTTTGTTCTGGGAAAGCTGTTCACTGTAATTGTTTTTGTCTACAGTTTATGTGTACTTTCAAAAAATATAAGTCACTAGTTCTATATTATGTAGAAATTAATGCTCATTGTTTCCTGAGTACAAAACTAAATATTCATTCATTATATTAACTTTGTCTTCTACTAGTGTTTAAAACTAGTATTTAAAAATAATATTTTACAGTGAATTCAAATGTTTAGTAAAGGCTAGCGTAAAATAATTGTACTTTGCTTCAATTTAGAGCTGTTTACGATCTGTGCTGGAACAAATAGCAGTGTATGGACAGGTTGTTGTTTCGACTTCAGGAGTTCATCGATGAAGTCATGGGACACAGCTCTGAAAGCCTCCTACCTGGAAATGGTTGTGTACCCAAGAAGTCAACTGAAGCTCCCTTTAGAACCTATCAGGCTTTCATGTGGGCCCTTTACAAATATTTCATTAGCTTCAAAGAGGAGCTTGCAGAAATTGAGAAGTGCATCATCAATAATGGTATTTAAATGTTCTTTATTTCATAAGATACATAACTCATACTTGAATTCCATTGAAATTGTCCATTGATAGAAGATGCCAAAATTACAGGCTGAGCTGGGGCTTTCTGTAATGCATGTGGGGGTACTGAGTCAAAGAGTGGCCCCAGGCCAAAACACAAAGCCCTACCTGAAAAAGGGGGCTGGGGCTCAAATGGACAGAAGAAAGGGAGGGAGGAAGGATAAAGGGAACTACAAGGCAAATAGGTAATTCTTATGGATGTCATATTTTGAGTTATTTTAAATTTATATTTTTAAGCCACTCATAGTTCTAAAAATCCAACATGTTAGAACATACAGTGAAAATTCTTCCTCCTGATTTAGTTCCCAAGCCAGTCAGTTACTCTCCCCAGAGGCAGACTGAGTCCTTAGCTCTTGTACATACTTCCAGAAATACACAGATATACCCAGGTAATGCACAGACATAAACACATACCTGATAGTCACTGCACTACCCTCTTTAAGTTAGTTTCATTTAAACTTTGAGGATTATACCATCCAATTACATGAGACCTTCCTCATACCTTTTTTTCAGTACCAGGGTTTGAATTCAGGACCTCTCTCTTGCTAGACAGGCTACTGTTAACACTTGAGCTACTGTGTTAACACTGTATGCTTGCTATATCATACTCCAGTTTTCCTTGATGGGTATTTAGATTGTTTCCAGCCTTTTGCTGTTCGCAACAGAACTTGAGTGGTAACCACTTACACATTTCAATAATTACATGCATGCAACATGTTTTATGTGGAGCAGATTCTTAAAAATGGAATTACTGTGTCAAACATTAAGTATGTGATGGCATGTGGAATTCTGCTAGATTTTGCCATGTTACTCTTCAGGGAGGTACAGATACTCTTTATATTCTTGTCAGCATTGTATACGCAGATGTGTTTCCTCGCACTCCACCAACAGTGTGTTATCAAACTTTTTGGTCTTGCCAATATGACAAGTATAAAACAGTCAACCAGTGTAGTTCCCCCTTTTATTTTCATCTACTGCAAAGAGTAGTACAAAGAGGTCCTGTGTCCCCATCACCCTATTTCCCCAGTGGTGAAACCTTACATGATTACATATAGGTCACAACTGGAAAGTGACATGGTACTACACAGTAGCAAGATTGCAGACCCCCAACAGTGGTTTCACCAGTATTACTTGATCTGGGCAGGGGGCATATATAATCTATCTTCAGAATCTTTGCCATTTTATTATGTATAGATACTTATAATTACTTCCATGTTCAGTTTATGGAGCCATGCTGCCTTTGCTGGAAACTTGCTTGAGCCACCCCTTTGTATGTAGTCATAATTTCCCCTGTCCCCTTACTAAAACAGTGGCCCATGGTAGGGGAGGTTTTCTTTAACTTGTATAGCTTTAGTTTGTATTTTTTATTATAGGTGAAAATCAGTGTCTTTAAGAATCATTGTCTTTCCTTTTCTGTGAGCAGTCAGTTCCTTTATACATTATTTTTCTGCCAAGTTTTTCTCCTTGACTTGGAGTTCTTTCTTCCTTAGTGAAATTAGCTTCTTGTGATGTAAGTTTAAAATTCACCTCCCTCCGTTTGACCATGTCTTTCCATAAGTCAAGTAGTAACTTAGCATTGTCAGCATTTATATCACATTTTGGATACATAAATTTTTCCTTGCAGTTGACACTGATTTATTGATGTTTACAGATATCACGATAACTCTTGCAACAGTGGTGGACAAGTTGTCACCTCGCTTGGCTCAGCTCAAGGTTCTGCACAAGGTGTTTAGTACCGGAGTAGCAGAAGTACCACCAGACACTCGGAATGTTGTTCGGGCATCTCACCTACTCAACACCCTGTACAAGGCCATTCTTGAATATGACAGTGTTGGCGAAGCCTCTGAGCAAACTGTATGTGGAACTCTCTGCTTGGTGTAAAATGAATGGTGGTTGTGATGGATAACCTGTCATAATTCTTTGTTAAATAATGCTTAAATCATGATGTAGCAAGTCAGAGTTTTAAAATTAGCTTTTAAATTAAGATCACTGGAACAAAGAGGCAAGACAAAGCAAGTTGTGAAAAATACCCAGCTGGGTTACATAGCTATTTACAGTAACCCTTCTCTACATGAAAACACAGGTTTGGGGTATGAGATACCTAATTTAGTCACATTCATAGAAAGAGTGTAATGGTGAGTACTGGGGTAGGGGAAGGGAATGGGAAGTTGTTCCATGGGTGCAGGGTACAGAGTTTCAGTGTTACATTGTAAAAAATTCTGGAGATCTTTTTCACAACATTGTGAATGTATTTAATACCTTTGAACATACACTTAAAATGGTTAAGGTGGTACTGGGTTTGATGGCTCATGTCTGCAATCGTAGCACTTGAGACACAAAGGTAGGAGGATTGCAAATTTGAGGCTAGCCTCAAACTTTCCTCAAAAAAAGGTTTAAGATGGCAAATTTAATTATATATATATTTACTTACCATAAGTTTTTAAAAAGTACAAACTAACTAGATTACAATCTAGAAAGCTCTAGATTTTATTTAGGTGTGTATTCTAGGTGTGCTTCTGTTTTCTTGCCATTTCAGTATAAAGAAGATTGGTTTCTTTCAATGGTGCAGTTTTTTTCCCTACTGAGAGTTATAGGAGAATGAAATCCTTTCCTTTGTCCTCATGGCATTTTGTTAGTGGTACTGTATAGATAGTGTGGCCATACCCATTGCCTGGGCTGTCCCAGTTTGTGCCTGTGTCTCTGTGATTTTCATGATCAGGAGGTTGCTAGAATGAATGGCAAACAATGTATTTACTTTGTTTCAAAAATATATAAAAATGCAATCACTTTTTAACAACCATGTTGGTAATGTTTAAACCTCATCTTAACCTAGTGATAGGAACTTTGAGTGGTGACCATGCATGTCCTCATCTTTAGGTTTCCCTCCTGTTCTCTCTCTGGGTGGAAACAGTGCGGCCCTACCTGCAGACTGTGGATGAGTGGATTGTGCATGGGCACCTGTGGGACAGCGCCAAGGAATTCATCATACAGAGGTGAGGCTGTGCATGGAGTGCAGGGCATGGTGACATCACTTATTTGATCCTTTGTCAAATTTAAGTGTTTCATGTGTGGTACTGAGGAGCACCGTTCAAACAACAGATCTGTGTTGCCAGTATAGCATAGGCATACTGTGTTGCATCTTTATAGACGATGTCAGGTACCACTCAATTAAAAATATCTTTGTCCAAGTTTTATGTCAGTTTATAGCTTTTCATAGTAAATTATATTTTTAATTAAAGTATACACTGCTTCCCATAAGATGATTTGGATGATATCAAATGGTTACATCTATTCCCATTAAAAATTATCAATAAGGGTGCAAAGCCGTAGTCCTACTGAAAAAAAGAAAAAAAATTTCAATTAGATATGAAGATAGTACAGGGTATGCCTCTAATATATTTATTTTTTGGAATAAGCTAATTTTTTTTATCCTCAGCACAGTATTTAATAAAACTATTAAAGAAAACCTTAGTTCATTTATGATAATTCCCCTTCTGTTTAGATATGGTTTCTAAACAGAATCATACAAAACTGCAGTGGACAACTGTTTTTATACTTTTTAACTTAGTGTTCAGTTCTGTAGCTTGTTGAGATGAATGCTTTCTATCAATAGTATTGAAATACTTAGGAAAGGGAACTTTGAAGTCTTTACAGCCTGGAAAAGTAAGACATGCTTGTGTGGATTCCTTCAACTGAATCTTGTGTCTGTCCTTTTAATCAGTCTCACATAAGAATTTTCATGAAAATGGGATTCTGACTGTTCTGAGGTGATGAGTGTCCATCGTTTCATTGTTAAAAGGCATCCAGTTATTAAACTATGAGGAGCACAGTGGTGGAGAACGTGTTTTAGATGCATAAGGCCCTGCGTCCAATCTCCAGAACAAAAAGACAAAAATAAAAAGAATCTGTATGGGAGAAAAAGGTAGCAAACCCTGGAAATTACTTTCAGAGGAGGTCATAAAATGGGCAAACTTTCATTCTTCTTCTAAAGACCAAATTAACCTTATTTTATTTAATTCCAATTCTGGAAATCATTTCCACTTAAATTTTGCCTCTACCATTCAAAGTATTTATCTATGGTGCTTTTCTATGTCAAATTGAGATCAGAGAAAAATTGCTCTATTTTGCCTGAAAATTGCTTCATCCTACTAGTTATTGATATAACTGTGTTTTGGAATGTCTCTAGCCTAAGCTAGAACCATGTGTTCTATGTTTTCAGGGAAGATAAAGTTTAAAATTCTTTTGAATCTCCATAGGAACAAAAATGTTCCAGTAAATCATAGAGACTTTTGGTATGCAACTTACACATTGTATAGTGTATCAGAAAAGACAGAAAATGAAGAAAAAATGAGTGACAATGCCAGTGCGAGTTCTGGCAGTGACCAAGGCCCCTCCAGTAGGCAGCACACCATGGTGTCTTTCCTCAAGCCTGTCCTGAAGCAGATCATAATGGCTGGAAAGTCGATGCAGCTGCTGAAGAACCTGAGGTGTGCAGAGAGCACCGCATGCCAGGCGGCAGCCAGAGGTAATCCTTCCCTTCCCTTCTTTACATGTTGTCCTCAGCCTGGGGTTGACAGCAGTAGTTCACTCTGTCATCCTGAGGTACCTAATTATTTTGTAACTTGAAGGTGATCAGCCTTTTACTTTAATGGAAATTATCACTATGATTGGATGAGTAATCATGCTGCTTTTGATTGATAAAACAGTTGTCTTCATTGGAAACCTTTAGCATGGTGTTTGGAAAGGCAATGATAAGTTCCACATTCATTTTTGTCACTCAGTTCTGTAGGACTGATCCTTTAAAAAATGCTGTGGCATTTCTTAATTGGTGCAATTTTTAGTTCTTGAGGACAGTGGGCCCTGGCAGTTATTAACATATTAATTACCATGTCTACGTTAAATAATATTTTTCCTTTGTGGAATATTTCCTTTTAAACTGAATACTAAACTGTAATGAGCTTTCCAAGGCCACTGTTGGCTGTGCAGTGTTTTTTCCAATGAAATTTGATCTTAGATATCTAATTATAATATATGCAGTATGGTATATATACTGCATATATATTAACTTTCAACTGCTCTGCTTTAGGTATTACTCTATGGCTTATACCTTGTATTTAACCCTCAACTTTGCAGTTAACAGAGGATACAAAATGTTGACTTTGCTCACTATAAAGGAAAAAGAAACAGAGATTAGACCTTCATAAATCAAATATTAGGCTTTATTAAAATTAAATTATGAATTTGAAAATGAGCCAAACATTTGTATGCACATATGAATAAAAGAAAAAATACATAAATCTATGAGGATAGGGACAAAAAAATAAATAAATAAAATGAAATTGATTCCTATTTGTTAACTTGACTTAGGAGATCATAATTCATCTTACATACTGTGTTTCAGATGCAGAAAGAAAAAGCTTACACACACTCTTTTTGGAATCTGTACAGTCACGTCTTCGACATGGAGAAGACTCCACTCCACAGGTCCTTTCTGAGCCACAGGCAGCCAGAAAGAACCTAACGAAGATGCAGTCCATTGCTGGAAGGCATCTTGAGCTGGATGACGCACAAGACCCACTGTTGGCCATTAACTTTACAAGGTGATACATACAGACCTGCAAAATTTTCAATGGTTGAGATGGCAACATCAGTGCAATGTTTAGTTAAACTGTTTATTTCTGACAGATAGGGCTTTCCAGCCTTAAAATAACAACAACAACAAAAACCCTGTCCTTTCTAATAAACAAAATACAAGAAGATGTTATGTTCACATATTTCAGGTGTATAATTTTGCCTTCAGGCCCGTGGAAGGGCTGTTGTTCATTCAGAATATGCTCCTGAAAGTCTGTGTAGGCATAAGACACAAAACTGAGTCAGAGTCCACCTCTGGGCTTAGGATGCTTTTAGCCATTTAGCCCCAGTGGAATAAACTGTTAATGCCCACATGGTGACATATTATCTGATGGCCAACATTAACCATGTGCACCTAATAAGAGGACCAACTCCAGTACCTGGCCCTAAAGGCAGCAGCAACTCTGATAGGGTGTTTTAGGGAGAAAGGTTTCCTCTTTTTGTAATAATGAATAATTTTAAGACTAAAGGTAATAATGAGACTCTGGTAGAGCACCTGCCTAGCAAGTGTGAGGCCCTGAGTTCAAATCCTAGTGTTTGTTTCATTGTTGTGACCTGCCCAAAAAAAAAAAGAAAAATTGGACTCTGGGGTTTTGGTTTAAGAGAATTCTGTTAATACCAGTTCATATAAAGAAGGCTCACATTTTTATCTTAAAGGTTGTATTTGGAGCAGAGTGATTTTCATGAGAAGTTTGCTGGTGGTGATGTATGTGTAGACAGATCGTCAGAATCTGTGACTTGCCAGACTTTTGAATTAACTTTGAGATCTTGCCTCTATCCTCATATTGATAAGCAGTACCTACATTGCTGTGGAAATCTCATGCAAACTCTTAAAAAAGATTACAGGTAAAAAGGAGTAATTTAGTTTTAAAAGTAATCAGTAGTTGATTTAAGAACAGTTGGATTGGGGGTAGGATGCTGGGGATCAAACCTAGGACTTTTTGCAAAGTTATTTTAAAATTCTGTATTTCAAGTTAATTAGAGTAGGGAATAAATATGTAGTAGACAACATTAAGAAGACTGATTAACCATTAATGTTTTCTTTAAGTGTGTTGTGAAGTTTAATTCTTTGAGAATCTATCCCCAATTTTTTTAAATGCCCAACATAAATTTTACTGTCAGAAGAAAAATAGGAAATTACTTGATAATCGATACCTAGCTCCTGAAACTATAGCATATCCATATCCATAAGTGACCCCTGTGAAGTTCATAGAAATTAGGTTGTTACAGAATTTTAGATAACAAAAACTGACTTTATAACTTAAAAAGCAAGTCATGGGTTGGGGGTGTGGCTCAAGTGGTACAGTGCCTGTCTAGCAAGTGTGAGTACCCCAGGACTCACATAACATGGTAGATTTTTTTTTTTTAAAAGCATAGAAAAAAACAGCTGGAGTGAAATGTTCCAAATAGTACCAGTGGATGTTAGGATTTGATTAATTTTTTGTTTGTTTCATTTTTGTGACCTTGTCCAATTTTCTATAATGTTATAGAAAAATATATTACTTGTTTCTGGTTATTAAAGGATAACATATCCTATTTTTATTATTGAAGAAGTTTTATTATTGGAAAAATCTTTAAGTCTTTAGTTTTCTAACTTTAGTAAGTGTCCACTTTAAACATAGCAGTGCACATACCTGGCACTGGTCAGGAACCCAACCTCATAGCTTAAAAGACTTTTTGTCACTTCTCTTCTCTTCATTCAGGTTGATAGAGTACTTGCAGGCCATGAGAAATTTTTTCTTAATGGAAGGTGGAGATACCATGTATGACTTCTGCACATCAATTTTTGATAAAATAAGAGAAAAGGAAACCTGGCAGAATGCATCTTTTCTAAACGTCCAACTCCAAGAAGCAGTAGGACAGCGCTATCCTGAAGATAGTTCACGGTAACATATGGGCAGCACCTTTGACTTTAAGTTGTATAAAGTAGGGTCAGGTGTGATGGCTTACCTCTGTAATCCCAGCTACTTGGGAGGCAGAGATTAGGAGGATTGCATTCAAGGTCAAGAGAAAAGTTAGTGTCTCAAAATAAGTCATACGTGGTGATATATATCTGTCATCCCAGCTACACAGGAGGCAGAGGTAGGATTGTGGGCCAGGGCCAGTCCAGGCAAAAGTACAAGACCCTATCTAAAAAATAACTAAAGCACAAAGGGCGGGGGGCATCGACCAAGTGGTTGTAAGGCCCTAAGTTCAAACCCCAGTACTGCCAAAAAGAAAAACAAGTATAAAGTAAGCCATGTGCCAAGAAATGACCTGTGAATTTTTCATATGTTATCTTACTTGGTCTTCATATTAGCCCTATGAATTTCAATAATTATTTTTAAATTAGAAAATCAAAGCCAGGCATGGTGGTATATACTAGCTCCCAGCTTCTTGGGAGGCTGAAGCAGGGGAATCTCTTGAGCCCAAGAGTTTGAGGCCAACCTGGGCAGCATAGTGAGACCCTGTCTCAAATCAAAAAAAAAAAACAAAATGAAAGCAAATTGAGATAGTGGGTAGCTTTCCCTACTGAGTGAGAGATGATTTGATGGACCGTCCAGCCTGTCAGAATCTGGTGGCTTCCCTCGTAGGCCTTGTGTACTGCTGCTGAACTTAACATTCCTGCCCCCTCAGGGATATCCCTGTCTTCCCAGGGCTGCCTCAGCTCTCCTGACTGTCTGTCTCTCAGCCTCACTTCCTCCCATCACAAGGGACCTGGCCTGCACAGAATGACCTCTACTACTCATGCTCTCCTGGGTACCTCACACCAGTTGGGCCACATTAGGTCTCACAAGGAAGGGAGATTTCTTACTGTTTGGCTTAATTTTCCCGACCTCATGTTTAAGATGCATCGCACCATGTTCTCTTTCCTACCTTGCTGCACATTTCAGGGATTGGAAATCATTCTGGCTTCCTCAAATGCTTTCTTCCTCCATCCTCCAATGGCATATCCTCCTTTTTGTGGCCTGGTGTTGGTCTCCTCACTTATTGCTACCCCGTTTCCTCTGTACTGTGAAGGTGACTTTGGAGGGGGTGAGATCAGCCTTATGTCACCTGCTTAGCATAGCACCTGAAAAAGTAGTAGTTGCTTGCTAACTATATCACTTAATGAATGTGACATAATAGACTGTTCAGCACTAAAATAATCCTGACTAGTGCCTGTGGGTGGAATGACTCAGCTAATTCACGATCACACATTGTCCTTACTTCTCTGGTATTAAGGGTAGCTCCCCACTTTAAACCTTCCATAATGAGTATCCAGGTATCATCTTCTAGTAGCTCTGTAGAGCTGTGGAGAGTCAACACTTCTCAACACCCCCAGCTATTCTGAGAACTAAACAAGATAAGGACACTTATGTGCCTGAGTAATGCCTGACACATGGACATTTCTGTTTTCTGTGTTGCATTCTTACAGGAATCATATCAAATAGATTTAAAAACAAAATTAAAATTAATAGGAATGCATGGGAAAAGCAGCATGCAACACCCTGCTGCAAAGAGACCCTTTCTTCTGCTCAGGCTGTGAAATGGGCCAGTGCTCAGGAGGCCACTCTTCCCATCCTCTCCTGGCTTACTGAGGAGGCCACTCTTCCCGTTTTTTCCCCACACAAAAGCAGAAAGCTCTGTTTTCTGAGCCTGCCACCTGACTTTTTCACTAGAATTAAGGTTCCAGGCAATTCCCCAACTTTCTTTCAAATTAATTTACCATTTTTATGTATCTCTTTTCTAGCTAAATCCATTGTGTAAAATCTAACTTGTACTGATCATGCATGCCTGTAATCCAAGCATTCCAGAGGCTAAGACAGAATGGTCACAAAAACAAAAACAAAACCCACAAATAAGAAAACAAACCTTTGCCCAAGAAAACAAAGTTTGCCCAAACTTCCTGTTCTGGAATATGTGTAGAAAACATTTATTTGTCACCATAATTAAATTTATGAAGTATGCTGTATTTCTTTTAGAATGTGTAAATAAATTTTAAAATGAGGTGGGTTTGTTTTGTTTTCTTTTTGTTGTGATGTAGATTGAACCCAGGGCCTTTCTTATGCTAGGTAAGAGCTTTAGTACTGAGTTATACTCCCTGCCCTTGAATTGTTTTTAAAAGAGCATTTTTATATTAGCATAAAATGAAATTATATGAGCATGAAATTAAAACTGAAACTTCTTTATTTAGTCTGTCTATATCTTTTGAAAATGTTGACCCAGCTAAGAAGAAACTACCTGTCCATATCTTAGATGGTCTGACCCTGAGCTACAAGGTAAGCATGCTTTTAATGAACATCCATTGCTATTAAAACTGAAACATCAAGTAATTGGTTATTTTGTATTCTAATTTTCTGGTTTTTGTTTTTATAGGTCCCGTGGCCTGTAGACATTGTTATAAGTTTGGAATGTCAAAAAATTTATAATCAGGTGTTCCTTCTCCTGTTGCAAATAAAATGGGCAAAATATAGTCTGGATGTTTTACTCTTTGGTGGTAAGGTGTATTTTCAGCAGATAAACCTTAATTTAGTTTTAGCCTGAAAAGAAGGGGTTGATGTATTTTCATCATTTTTCATGTATAAACAAATGCAAACTGTAGCAGCAGTTTTGCAGACCTCAGGTATGTGAGTGAAATGTCAGGAAGTTGTATGTAGAGTTGAACTTAAAGACAATAACTTATTACTGATTTAACTCAAAGTACTCTTCTTAGGTTATCCAGAAATGTTTAATGAAGGATTAGTGGAACTTTTACATGTTTCCATTAGTGATAGCAAAAGTGATGCAGGGAACTTTTGACACTTGACCTTCCAAAAGCACTGAGATGGGTCCCTGGTACATGCCTGTCAGGGCACACCTAGCAGTGCTGATGCTGTGTCCCTCAGAATTCTCTACTCATGTAATGAGTGCAGTAAGGTTGGAGGCAGTTTCGTTTCCACATATTTTGCGTTTTCAATCTTTTATAGAACTGGCTAATACTGCAGAAACACCCCAACTTAAAGAAGGCTTTCTTCATGGACAAGACACAGTTGCTCAGTTTGGACCACACAAGGAACCAGTAAGACAGCAGATCCATCGCATGTTCCTCTTAAGAGTGAAGCTGATGCATTTTGTGAACAGTTTGCATAACTACATCATGACCAGGGTTGGTGTCTGTCCATGTACCTCAGTTCTGTCACCTTATGTATAGAATGATTTGTAATACATTTTTAAATACAAAGGAACCAGAAAATACTTTTTTCAGATTGTACAAATGGGACATACAAGTAATTTGATCATAATATAACATGGCAGTGAAGTTTTTTTTAAACACATTAGCACCTGTGTGTACAAAGACTGTGGTCACTCCTGTCCACAGCTCCTTGGAATGGATGTACCCAAAGCTCTTTTGACACTGCCTTGAGAACTTGCTTCATCACCCACTAAATTTCATCAGTAATAACAGCTGTCCCTGGAAAATACCTTTAATAGTATCAGCCAAATTCCTCAGGAAGGGGTAGAATGTAAGGAGGACGGTGCAGCCATATTATTTACGTTTCTTAAAAATTTTTAAATGTATTTAATTAGTTTGCTTTATTCATTTATTCATATGTGCATACATTGTTTGGGCCGTTTCAACCCCCTGCCCTCCACCCCCTCCCTCTCCTTCCCACTCCCATCGCTTCCAGGCAGAACCTGGTCTGCCCTCTTCTCCAATTTTGATGAAGAGTAAACAAAAGCAATGATAAGAATGACACAGTGTTTTTGCTAGTTTGATATAAGATTAGCTATACATAGAGATTCCTAGCATTGCTTCATGCACAAGTGTATTACAGCCTGAATTGATTCATCTCTACCAGACCTCTTCACTACTGATCGGTCATCTTCCCATACTGACCTCTCTCATTTTAAGGTTAATACATGAGCTCCTCTGCAGTGGAAACATCAAACGCTTTCAAGTTTTGGGTTTCCTACCTATCCCTGTTCCTCCTGTATGTGTCCTCCCCTTAGCGTGTGACCCAAGTATAATAATACTACATTTGTTTTATTTTTTTTTTTATTTATTTATTTTTTTCATTTTACTTTTATTATTCATATGTGACTACATTTGTTTTAGATGTAAAGTCCGCACATAAGGCAGACTTTACGATTTGTGGCTTTCTGAGGTACAAACTCAAGCTACGCTTAAGATGATGTTCTCCAGTTTATCTATTTACTTGCACATGATAAGATTTCATTCTTCTTCATGGCTGACCAAAATTCCATAAATACCACACTTTCTTAATCCATTTGTCAGTATTGAGACATCTTGGCTGTTTCCAGTACTTGGCTATTGTGAACAATACTGCAATAAACATGGGTGTGCAGGTGCCTCTGGAGTAACCTGAGTCACATTCCTTTGTGTATATCCCTAGGAGTAGTATTGCTGGATCATATGGCAGATCTATGCTTAGTATTTTAAGAAGCCTCCATATTGTTTTCCAGAGTGGTTGCACTAGCTTACATTCCCACCAGCAGTGTAAGAGGGTTCCTTTTCCCCCCCCGCATCATCGCCAACACCTGTTGTTAGTGGTGTTGCTAATGATGGCTATTCTAACAGTGGTGAAGTGGAATCTTAGCGTGGTTTTAATTTGCATTTCCTTTATTGCTGGAGATGGTGAGCATTTTTTCATGTGTTTTTTGGCCATTTCAATTTCTTCTTTTGAGAAAGTTCTGTTTAGTTCACTTGCCCATTTCTTTATTGGTTCATTAATTTTGGGAGAATTTAGTTTTTTGAGTGCCCTTTATATTCTGGTTTTCAGTCCTTTGTCTGATGTGTAGGTGGCAAATATTTTCTCCCACTCTTTGGGTGTTCTCTTTAGTTTAGAGACCATTTCTTTTGTTGGGCAGAAGCTTTTTAGTTTTATGAGGTCCCATTTATCTATGCTATCTCTTAGTTGCTGAACTGCTGGGGTTCAATTGAGAAAGTTCTTGCCTATGCCTATTAATTCCAGAGTATTTCCTACTCTTTCCTGTATCAACTTTAGAGTTTGTGGTCTGATATTAAGGTCCTTGATCCATTTTGAGTTAATACTGGTATAGGGTGATAAACATGGATCTAGTTTCAGTTTTTTGCAGACTGCTAACCAGTTTTTCCAGTAGTTTTTATTGAAGAGGCTGTCTTTTCTACATTGTATATTTTTAGCCCCTTTGTCAAAGACAAGTTGGTTATAAATGTGTGTCTTCATATCTGGGTCCTCTTTTCTGTTCCACTGGTCTTCATGTCTGTTTTTGTGCCAGTACCATGCTGTTTTTATTGTTACTGCTTTGTAATGTAGTTTGAAGTCGGGTATCGAGATACCTCCAGCGTTGTTCTTTTGACTGAGTATTGCCTTGGCTATTCGTAGCCTCTTGTGTTTCCATATAAATTTAACAGTAGATTTTTCAATCTCTTTAATGAATGTCATTGGGATTTTGATGGGAATTGCATTAAACGTGTAGATTACTTTTGGGAGTATAGACATTTTTACTGTGTTGATTCTACCAATCCATGAGCATGGGAGATCTCTCCACTTTCTATAGTATTCCTCAATCTCTTTCTTCAGAAGTTTACAGTTTTCCTTGTAGAGGTCATTCATATCCTTTGTTAGGTTTACACCTACATATTTGATTTTTTTGAGGCTATTGTAAATGGAATTATTTTCATATATTCTTTCTCAGTTTGTTCATTATTAGTGTATAGAAATGCTAATGATTTTTCTGTGTTGATTTTGTATCCTGCTACCTTGCTATAGCTATTGATGGTGTCTAGGAGTTTTTGAGTAGAGTTTTTTGGGTCTTTAAGGTACAGGATCATATTGTCTGCAAATAGGGATATTTTGACAGTTTCTTTACCTATTTGTATTCCTTTTATTCCTTCTTCTTGCCTAATTGCTCTGGCTAAGAATTCCAGTACTATGTTGAATAGGAGTGGAGATAGTGGGCATCCTTCTCTAGTACCTGAGTTTAGAGGGAATGGTTTCAGTTTTTCTTCATTAAGTATAATGCTGGCTGTAGGTTTGTCATATATAGCTTTTATAATGTTAAGGTATTTTGTTTCTATTCCTAGTTTTCTTAGAGCTTTTATCATGAAATGGTGTTGGATCTTATCAAAGGTTTTTTCTGCGTCTATTGAGATGATCAAATGGTTTTGTGTTTGCTTCTGTTATATGGTTTATTACGTTTATTGATTTTCATATGTTGAACCACCCCTGCATTCCTGGAATGAAGCCTATTGGTCATGGTGAATGATCTTTTTGATGTGTTGTTGAATTCGGTTTGCCATTATCTTATTGAGGATTTTTGCATCAATGTTCAATAAGGAGATTGGCCTATAGTTCTCCTTTTTGGAGGTGTCTTTGCCTGGTTTTGGGGTAAGTGTAATACTGGCTTCATAAAATGTGTTAGGCAGTTTTCCTTCCCTTTCTGTTTCGTGGAACAGTTTAAGGAGGGTTGGTATCAGTTCTTCTTTAAAATTCTGATAGAATTCAGCAGAGAGTCATCAGGTCCTGGACTTTTCTTTTTGGGGAGACTCTTGATTGCTGCTTCAATTTCATTTTGTGTTATAGATCTATTCAGTTCATTAATATCCTCTTGGTTCAGTTTTGGATGATCATATGTATCTAGAAATCTGTCCATTTGTTTAAGATTTTTGAATTTATTTGAATATAGGTTCTGAAAGTAGTCTCTGATGATTTCCTGGACTTCCGTGGTGTTTGTTGTTTTTCTCTCTTTTTGCATTCTTGATTCTACTAATTTGGGTCTTTTCTCTCCTCATTTTAGTCAGGTTTGCCAGGGGTCTGTCGATCTTGTTTATTTTTTCAAAGAACCAACTTTTTGTTTCATTAATTCTTTGTATGGTTTTTTTGGTTTCTATTTCATTGATTTCAGCTCTTATTTTTATTATTTCTCTCCTTGTATTTGTTTTGGGATTTGCTTGTTCTTGTTTTTCTAGGAGTTTGAGATGTATCATTAGGTCATTGGTTTGAGAACTTTCAGTCTTTTTTAATATATGCACTCATGTCTATAAACTTTCCTCTCAATGGCTGCCCTTGCTTTGTCCCATAGGTTCCAGTAGGTTGTGTTTTCATTTTCATTGACTTCCAGGAACTTTTTAATTTTCTCTTTTATTTCATCAGTGATCCATTTTTCATTAAGGAATGAGTTATTCAGTTTCTAGCTGTTTGCATGTTTTTTGTCTTTATTTTTGTTGTTGAGTTCTCATTTTATTGAATTATGATAAGATAGAATGCATGGTTTAATTTCTGTTTTCTAATATTTGCTGAGGCTCGCTTTTGTGCCTTAGGATATGATCTATTTTGGAGAAGGTTCCGTGGGCTGCTGAGAAGAATGTATATTGTATAGAGGTTTGATGGAATGTTCTGTAGACATCAACTAGGTCCATTTGATCTATTGTATATTTTAGATCTAGGATTTCTTTGTTGATTTTTTGTTTGGATGACCTATCTATTGATGATAATGGGGTGTTAAAGTCTCCCACAACCACCGTGTTGTAGTTAATATATGCTTTTAGGTCTTTCAGGGTATGTTTGATGAAATTGAGTGCATTGACATTGGGTGCATATAGGTTGATAATTGTGATTTCCTTTTTGTGTATTTCCCCTTTTATTAGTATGGAATGTCCTTCTTTATCTCATTTGATTAGTGTAGGTTTGAAGTCTACTTTGTCAGAGATAAGTATTGCTACTCCTGCCTGTTTTCGGGGGCCATTGGCTTGGTAAATCTTCTTCCAGCCTTTCATCCTAAGCCTATGCTTATTTCTGTCAGTGAGATGGGTCTCCTGTAAGCAACAAATTGTTAGATCTTCTTTTTTAATCCATTTCATCAAACGGTGCCTTTTGATGGAGGAATGAAGTCCATTAACATTAAGTGTTAGTATTGATAGGAATGTGGTGATTCCTGTCATTTAGTTGTCTTAGTTGTTTGAAGGTTTGATTGTGTGTACCTAAGTTGAGGTTAACCTCTACTTTCTTGCTTTTTCTTTTCCTGTAGTTTGGTGCTGTCTGCCCTTTCATGGTTATGTTGGGTTTCACTTTCTGTGTGCAGAATCCCTTGAAGAATCTTTTGTAGTGGTGCTTTTGGTCACATATTGTTTTAGTTTCTGCTTATCATGGAAGACTTTTATTGCTCCATCTATTTTGAATGATAGTTTTGCTGGGTAGAGTATCCTGGGGTTGCAGTTATTTTCATTCAGTGCCCGGAAGATCTCACCCCAAGCTCTTCTTGCTTTTAATGTTTCTGTTGAGAAGTCTGCTGTGATTTTGATGTGTTTACCTTTGTATGTTATTTGTTTTTTTCTCTCTTACAGCCTTCAATATTCTTTCTCTACTCTCTGTACTTGTTGTTTTAATGATAGTATGCCGTGGGGTAGTTCTATTTTTGTCAAGACTGTTTGGTATATTGTAGGCTTTCTGCACCTGTATGGTATAGGTTTCTCTAGACTTGGGACATTTTCTGTTATTATTTTGTTGAACATATTACACATTCCTTTTTCTTGCACCTCTTCTTCTTCCATGTCCATGATTCTCAGTTTGGTCTTTTGATGGAGTCAGTAAGCTCTTGCATTTTCTTTTCACAGGTCTTGAGTTATTTAAATAATAGTTCTTTGGTTTTTCCTTTAATTATCATTTCGTCTTTGAGTTCTGAGATTCTGTCTTCTGCTTGTTCTGTTCTGCTGGATTGCCTTCCATTTTTTTTTCACATTTGTGTTTCATTCTTTTTTCTGTGGTTTCTATATCCTGAGTCCCTTTCTCTTTGATATTGTCTGTTTTCGTTCTGAGTTCATTTATCTCTTTATTAATCATGTTCTTTGCTTCACTTTGGTGGTTATACAGTGCTTCTGTAGTTTCTTTTACTTTTTCTTGTGCTTTCTCAAATTCTCTATTTTTGTTGTCTTGGAATTTCTTGAGTCTTTCCTGTACATTTTGGTTAACCATATCCAGTATCCTCTGTATAAAATTCTCATTGATTACTTGCATGATTTCTACTTTCACGGTGTTCTTGTGGGCTTCATTGGATTCTTTGGCATAGTTTGTCTTTGTTTTATTGGAGCCTGGATCTGGGTATCTGTTTTCTTCATTTCCCTCTGGTTCCTGATTTATTATTGGAGGGAAAGTGGTTCCCTCTTTTCTTCTGTCTTCCCTTCATTGCCCTTGCTATTATTACTGTCGCTGTACTATGTGTAATTCCGTATTGTCTAGCTTGTAATAATAACAATGGTGAATTCTGGTGGTCTGCGTCTTCCCAAGCAGTCTGGGAGCTTGCATCTGGTGGAGTGGAAGCCATCTTCGTTTCTCCATTTAACATGGAGTGGGGATGCTGTGTGTGGGCTGGGAGTGTGGAGGAGTCGGAGTTTTGCCTCCTCTTGGTGGTATTTCCTGCGAGATGTATCCCCTGCGTCTCTCCAAGATTTTACTTTAGGATGCACACTTTCTGCTTCTTCCCTCTAGCCACCATCTTGGAATCTCTGTCCTAGCTAGGGTTGAAGTTATTTTCACTGAGTGCCCAGATTACCTCACTCCATGCCCTTCTTGCTTTCAAGGTTTCCTTTGAGAAATCTGTGATTTTGATGGGTTTTCCTTTGTATCTTATTTGTTTTTTTCTCTCTTACAGTCTTCAGTATTCTTTCTCTATTCTCTGTGCTTGTTGTTTTAATGATAACATGTTGTGAGAAAATTCTGTTTTGGTCCAGTCTGTTTGGTGTCCTGGAGGAATCCTGTATGTGAATGGGCATAACTTTCTCTAGATATGGGGAATTTTCTGGTATTGTTTTTTTGACTATATTATGAATCCCTTTTGCTTGGACCTCTGCTTATTCAATGCCCTTGATTCTCAGGTTTTGATCTTTTGATGGAGTTGGTGAGTTCTTGTATATTCCTTTTGCAGGGCTTGAGTTGTTTAACTAACAGCTCTTCAGTTTTTCTTTTAATTTGCATTTTATCTACAAGTTCAGAGATTCTGCCTTCCGCATGTTTCAATCTGCTGGAGTAACTTTCGACTGTGTTTTGTGTTTCTGGTTCATTCTTTTATCTGAAGTTTTACATATCATGTGTCACTTCCTCCTTAATATTTTCTATTTTCACTTTTAATTCATTTATCTCCCTGTTTATAGTATTCTCTGTTTCACTTTGGTTTTTATTTAGGGCTCCTATGAGTTTATTTATTTGTTTCTGTGTTTTCTTGTATTCCTTATTTTTGGTGTCTTGAAATTTCTTTAGTGCATCTTGTATGGTTTGGGTAACCATGTGTAGTATCATCTCCATGAAATTCTCAGTGATTACTTGCAGGATTTTGTTTTTGAGGGTATTCTTGTGGACATTGTTGGGTTCCTTGTTGTCATTTATCTTTGTTTTGTTGGAGTCTGGAACTGGGTATCTGATTTCTTCATTTCTCTCTCACTCCTGTATTAAATAATTTTTGGGGGGAGAGTGGTTTCCATCCCTTTTTCTTCTTCCCACTGCTCCACTTGATCTGTGCAGCTATGTTCTTGATATTCTAGTTGGTGGTTTCAGTCACCTGTTTTCTTATCTTGATTTTAATTTTTGTTTTGTGGCTCTCTTGGTTTTTTAGCTAAGGTGGTGTGCTGTTTCTGTCCGTGGTCTGGGTGTAACTTAATATTAAATAGTTCATAGGTTTAATGCCTGAGTAGTAGTTTAGGTGTTATAAAGAAGATCCCTTGGTGGTAGTATATAAGCAGTGGGAGTTGGAGGGTTAATGATTTTAGGCTAGCTGTAGAAATTTGGGGAATTGGATAGGGTGGGACTAAAAGAGGAGCCAGGAAGTGTGTGGGTGAGTGAGGGAAGCAGTGCAGGGACTGCTGGTTTTTGTGGTCCTTGTGTATGTTTGGGTGTATTTCCGTTGTAGAACAGTGTGCTTGTGTCAAGGATTGGAGGGGTTTGGGTTTGTGTCAAGTTGGTATAGTAGGTTGTTCAGTGGGTGATGAGTGTGAAGGAAGAAGTGGTAGTCTGGTGACAGGTTGGGGGAGAATGGAAGGGGAATTGTGGGCTGGGGGAAGAGAGTGTGTGAAAAGGGGCAGAATGATTTGTTGGAGAAGGGAACCTTGGGTTTTAGCCTAGGAGAAGGATGGAGAGTGAAGGGGGTGAGAATTGGAATGAGAGGATGATGATGGTAAAGTTAATAGTATAAGACAGAGGGAAAAAAAAGATAATAGGAGTAAAAGTAAAAATAGAAAACCCACAATAATAAAACAAGCAAAAAAAATAAAAAAGCCAAAGAAATCAACAAAAAAATAAAAAAAACCCCAGGTTCAGGAACAATAAAATTTTAGTCTTAGTTTACTAAGATTCTGGTGTTAACTCCTCCAGCAGCCAGTCCTGGTGTTAGCATTTAAGGTGAAGCTCTGTCATTGTCTTGGCAGGTGATTTGCTTGTGAGTAGTGTTTTGTTTTTCTGTTTTCCAGCTGTAACTGCTTGGTCAGCTCCTCCCCCAGTGAGGTGTGGCAGTTTAATTTTGTATGGTATCCTCAGATTAAGGAGATCATCTCTGTAGTCCATTAGTTGTCCTGCTTTGGAGGTGGCTTTTTGCTGTGCTGTTTACTGGGGGGCTTGTTTCTTTGCCTTGCCCCACTTCCTCTGGGGCAGGGTCAGTGTTCCATCAGCTGGCCTCCACTGTTAGCATGTTGTGATGGTTCGCTGTTTGTTTTTCAATTTTGCGGAGTAGGTTGACATTGGGTGCTGCTCACTGGCTCAGGAGATGAGCTTTGTGATCTGCTACCTGCCGTGCTTCAGGGAGTGGTTTGTCACCCAACTGCTGTTGGCCTTCCTGCCTTTCCAGCATTTGTTTACTGATAGTTCTCACAGATATTAGCTCCTTGCCTTTCCCCGCTTCTCGGGTGTACTTTCAGCAATCCTACCCCTTCCGCTGTATGCTAGATTACAGTTCACTGTTTATTGTTCATTTTTTTTGGGGGGGGGAGGGGTCAGTATGCCCAGGGGCTATGCTGGTTTATCCCGGGGGTGGTTGGGGGAATTTCTTGAGATGCTTGGCTGAATGCCTCACAGGCAGGTTTGCAGCCAGTGGTGGCTATGGCAGCAGCCCACCTGTTTTCTCAGTGTAAAGTGTCATGGAGAAGCTTTCCATGGACTAAGGGTTCAGGGTGTTGAAGTTTTGATTCTCATTGGTGCTTTATTTCTGCCAAGTGTGGCTCCAGCATCTCAGCAAGGTTTTGGAGTCGCAGAGCTCATGCTGTCTGTTTCTGCACCCTAGTTGCCATCTTGTATTCTCCTACTTACTTTTTTAAAAAAACCAAAAATTCCCTATAACATAAGTGAAACTGCTGTTCTTAGATATCTTAAAAACAGCTCCACAGGAACTTTTGAAAGAGGAGTTCAGATATTAAAACCATAGAAATGTAACTAGAAAATCAGACTTATTTGGGGTTTAAAACTTGCTTCTAAAAAATGTACGTCTCCATTTATCCTCATTCCAGTATATAAGTTCGAAACTCATCTCATTAGGATGAAATGATCCTTTCAAACCTGTGTATCAGATGTGAAGGATATAGCCAAGGTTCTCTGCTTTGCCTGACTTCAGTACTGGCTCTCACAGGGCCAGCATTAAGACCTTACTTATTAAAAGTAAAATTTAAGTAGGAGCGTAAGTTTTTACTTTATTTTGTATTTTCTATTTGAAGTACATCTATGTTCCTTTCACAGAAAGATCAATACTGTGTATAAAAAGTGGAACTTACTAAAACATAAGTTCATTGAAATTATTGTATTGTAAAAATCATACTTATATTTACAACAAATTTATCCGATAATTTTTAAAATCAGTGCATTTTCTTGTGGCTAGATAAACTTGATTCTTCCTGCCAGTGAGTCTTGTTACTCTAAAGGTGAGTGTTAATTCATTGTGCAAGAGGATGTGCTGAGGACTGGCCCAGACACTAAGGTGTCCAGTGGTATCTAGTCAGCCTTAAATGAGGGGTGTGATTATTGAAGGAAGAATTTGAGGACACTAGAAGAGTTTGGTAGAAAGCTTTGTGTGCAGCACGTAAGACTCAAAGATTTATAATTAAGCTTTTTGTCTTTCTTTTCCAAGATTCTTCACAGTACAGGGTTGGAGTTTCAGCACCAAGTCGAGGAAGCCAAGGATTTAGATCAGTTGATTAAAATTCACTACAGATATCTGTCAACCATCCATGACCGATGTCTACTAAGAGAAAAGGTAGGTAAGAGAAGGTGTGGCTAGTGAGATAGAGGGAAGCTGGGCAAAAGGGAATGTCTGCCTGCTTTGGGATTTTGAATATATATGTATTTTCATTTCTTTTTTGGCTGTACTAGGATTTGAACTCAGTGCTCTGCAATTGCTGGCAAGGTGCTCTACCACTTAAGACTCTGGTTATTAGGGAGATAGGGTCTCGCTTTTTGCCCAGGCTGACTTGGACTGCAATCCTCTTTATTTTATCCTTCCTGCTGTAGCTGGGATTACAGGCACATGCCACCACATAGGTTTTTGTCCATTGAGATAGGGTCTCGTGAACTTTTTTTGCCCAAACTGGCCTGGAACCATAGTCCTTCTGACCTCAACCTCGTGCGTAGCTTGGAATGACAGGCAGACAGCAGTGCCCCAACTTGGAATTTTTAGTTATTAAACTACTGTCCTGCAGGATCTTCTTTAAGCAAAAGCAGGTCAAATGAGGTTAGAGTTGTGTGCCCAACTACTAGAAGTTATACCTAAGAAAAATGTGAGAACTGTGCTGCCACAGTCAGCTTCCACTGTGCACTATACTTGGGTTCATTTGGAATGTCTGCAGCTGTGTAGTAAGAGCTGCAGCTGTATGACAGGAGTACACCAGATCTGCACCTGTAATTCCAGCTACCCTGGAGATGGAGATCAGGAGGATTGTGCTTTGAGGACAGCTTGGTCAAGAACTTAGTGAGACCTTATCATCAGTAAACTGGGTGTGGTGACACATGCCTGTCATCCCAGCCTATAGTGGAGGCTGTGTGTTGGAGTAGTCTGAGTCCAGCCCTGGACAGAAAAACAAGCCCCTACCTAAAAAATAATTAAAGCAAGAAAGGCTGCAGATGTTACTCAGTTGGTAGAGCGCCTGCCTAGCAAACACCAGAACCTAACTTCAAATGTTAGCACTGCAGAAAAAAACCAAAAACTTGGAGCATAGTAGATCAGTGTGAATATGTGAGATTGCACAGTAGGACAGCTGCTAATTCATGGCTGCAAGGGTGCAGTAAGAGAACATGCCAGCTCACTGTGAATGTGAAGAATGCATAGTATGACAGCCCTTGGAACTGCTTGTCCCAGGTTCACTGGTGGAACTGAATGACCATCACAGGATGGGAGCTTGTCTTTTTGTGTCTTTTTCACTGCTAGTCCCTCGTGCTGGTATCATGCACAGTAAATGCAGGGCCCCATTTGAACTGGGCTCATTTTTGAGTCCAGTGCAGTCTTTGCACTGATGAGGTTTTTCTGTGACTGCATTAGGTTAAAATATGGGTATCAGTGTCTAAACATAGTTACAAATCCTGTATTCTGTCCCTGACTTTGGTCTCCAGGTCAGCTTTGTGAAAGAAGCAATCATGAAGGTTTTAAACTTGGCTCTTATGTTTGCAGAAGGCTGGCAGATGGGCCTAGGGGCATGGCAGTAAGTATGCTTTGTGGTCATCTATGTTGTGATTGTTTCAGCTTCCTTCCTAATGGGCTTCTTTCAAGGAATCATTTTTTCATCTTGGCAACATATCCCATAACACTATAAATAATTTAAAATTTGAATTTTTTTTGTTACTATTAGGATTTGAACTCAGGGCCTCACACTTTGGGCAGGTGCTCTACCTGCCACTACAGCCACTCTGCAAAACCCTAAAAATACTTGAGTGATAAAGTCCAGGACCTGCCTGGAAATGCATGAGTCCTGGGATTCAACCACCTGAACCACAAAAGAAGAAAAGAATTGAATTTTATCACCTATCCTAGGCATCATCTACAATTGTGAGAAGTAAAGCATAAGAAAACTGAGATCTTGTAACTAGGACACTTTCTTAGATTGTATTCATGGTTTGTTCACTTTTTAATAAAGACACTTTCAAACATGCCTAGGTAGAGAGGACAGCACAGCAAACCTGTATGTCCGTCACCACTTCAGCAATTATCTTGGATGATTAGTTCTGAGTCATGGCCTCCACCCACCTGCCTCACACCTGCTGGGTCATTTTAAAGTGAATTCTGGCCATCATGCCAGATTATAGTCCACAGTTGTATTTTGTATCAACTCTAAAATATACCACGTATTTTACTTTTGGACTGTTCACACGTGTTACATAGAAAGGCAAATGCCCTAAAGTCAGTGACTTTTGAGTAGACAGTTGAGGACCCAGGAGTTCTTTCTTCCCATTTAGCAGGACCATCCTTTGCTGTTTAGGTTTTTTTTTTTATTTGAGGGTGGGGAAGGTTGGTGGTAGAAATCCAACCAGAGCCTTATGCATTCTTACACACTCTACCATTAACCCCCAGCCCAGCCATCCTCCACTCTTAACGTGAACATACTTCTCAGTATTTATTTAGTCCCCATCTTGTTTATTAATGTGATGATAATTCTGCTTTACTTCCCTGAAATACAGGGAATTCTGCTTTTCTTCCCTGAAATACAGTCATCTGGATGACTGGCTTTTTTTTATGACAATGGCTTGTAGATGTCCATATGAGAATTCACTATGATGCTGGTGTCATTTGAAATCTTAACCTGTGGCTGTTCTCTGAAGGAAGAAATTAGGATACTAGGAAAAATTCATAATTGTGGGGATGAAAATAGACCCTCCTTGCTTTATTCTTGCCCTCACAAAGTGTGCAAAGGTATTTCTCTTATACTGTGTGGTAGAAGAGAAAATAACTACTGCAGATGCTTTGTTAAAATTGAATTGTATCCGTTTCTTCCAGCAAATCATGAGAAAAAACAGGAAGTGGGTTTAGGAAGCATGTCAGCTATCACAGCTCATGGAATAATCCTGATTCAAACTTTAGGCAGGAAAGTGAAAAATTAGAGAAGCAATGTGACATTTGCTTAAATACCCAGGGGTATTTTGATGATATTAACTGTTAAATATTTCTAGGCAAATGGTATTGTGGTTATATTTTGAAAGAAATCTTCATCTTTAAAGTACACAATTATGGGCCAGGTGTGGTGGCTCAATTCCTATAATTGCAGGTACTTAAAAAGTGGACATTGAGAAGATCACAGTTCAAGACCATTCTGGAAAAAGTTAGTGAGCCCCGCCCCCCCATTTCAACCAATGAGCAAGTTGTGTTGGCCCGCACCTGTGATCCCAGCTACACAAGAGGCATAGGTAGAAGGATTACAGGGTGGTCCTGAGCAAATCACAAGACCCTACTTGAAAAATAGCTACCACAAAAAAGGGCTGGAGATGTGGCTCAAGTGGTAGAGCCCCTCCCTAGCAAGTGGGAGACCTTGAGTTCAAACCCCACTACTTCTGGAAAAAGAAAAAAAAAACAACAAAGAAAAAAGAGTATACACTTAAAAATATTTAAAACTGGAATGCTTAACCTAGAAGGCAACACACACGTACAGGAAATTAATGTGAGTCAACTCCCTGTATAGCTATCCTTATCTCAACCAGGAACACTTGTTCCTTCCTATTATTGCCTATACTCTCTCTTCAACAAAATTAGAGATAAGGGCAAAATAGTTAATGCTGGGTATTGGGGGGGGGGAGAGAGAGGGGGCGGAGTGGGTGGTAAGGGAGGGGGTGGGGGCAGGGGGGAGAAATGACCCAAGCCTTGTATGCGCGTATGAATAATAAAACAATTAAAAAAAAACTGGAATGCTTTGATGTCTCCAGTTTGTTTCTAAGTACTGTGGTAGGGCTGAGGTGTAAATAGGCCTGGTTGCCAACAGATACCAGGTAGCAGAGTGGCACATACATGGAAGCATGTTGTGATGTTCTCCTTTATGTATATTGGGTTTTTCCCACTTAAAAAGTTTCTTTATAATAATTTCAAATTTTATGGTTGCATATCCTTAGTGTGTTCATTATTTTATAGAGAATATATGCTTGTAAAAATTACAATACAGAATTTGTGAATGAAAAGTCATCTTACCTCCAGAACTAAAGACTACCTGGGAAAAGTAGGGTTTTATATTCTAATGATTCTTTCCTTGCCGTGCTTTGGAAAATTTATCTAAATGTGAGGTAGGATGTAATCCCAGCTAATCTTTAGAGTTAAGATTGTAAATAATTAAACTAAAATACATTTGAAATTACCCCAAAGATATTTTATAGTCTGCCTAATAGCTCCTATGTACCTTGACGTGAGCTGTAATTTATTTTCTTTCCTAGGATGGAATCTATAGAGAAAATGGAGTCTGATTTTAAAAACTGCCACATGTTTCTTGTAACCATTTTAAACAAAGCAGTGTGTAGAGGATCTTTTCCCCATTGTGAGTACATCATGTTGTAAGATTACACCTTTTCTGTTTTCTTATAGTTAATTCTGTATGTCATTGTTTTCTTGCTAAGGCATGAACAATTTGAATTTCTCACCATTTCAAAACTGGAAAGTCCCTTATCAGTGGTGCCAAGCTTTGAATTATTTTTCCAGAATGACAGTGTGGGGGTGAATATCAAATGTTGATCACTAAGACTGAAGAGCTTGCTTCTAATGTGTCATTTTATTATGCCAGTGGATTCCTAAACCTGAAATGGAGCAGCTGAGAGAGTAGATTTGTCACTCTTGACTTTCATGTGTAGCCATTGAAGCTATTTTTTTCTCCGAGACAAGGAATAGGTGGGTAGCAATTTAAAAACTCCGAAGGCTGCCTCTCATCACAAGCAAATGTGGACTTGATAGTTGATCATTCAGGGTGTGTGGTAGACAAGAGAAGTCTGTGGATGAGTTATGGAAGAAGAGAAAGTTGTTAGTCTCTGGAAACAACCGAGTAGCCTCTCTTTTCCCAACTTTTTATTGTAAAGAATGTATATAGTTTTACTCTCTTTCCATTTCTGCATGCTCTGATTGTAATACACTTATTAAGAGTAGCCAGACATTTGACAAAAAATACTGCGTACTACTTATGTGAGAGAAAACACTGATGTATTTGCCCCTGTTTATATTGGGTGAGGGACAGACAAGTAGGTGACATCCATAGGTGGCATGGTGTTATGAGCTGGCTCCAGGTTTTATGCCAGAAGGCACAAATGTTCTTTATTGGTTGAGATGCCATTTCTTTTTTACTTTCAAAATTAAAATGATCAGAAATGAAATATATCTTACGTTTTTTATTATTTAACATGAAGATAGTCTTTTTCATTAAAAATATCTGTTTTAAATTAAAAACAGCATATCTTTAAATACTTTTCAATTCTCTGTTATGGCCTTATTCGAACATTTTTAAACATTTGAAAACCTTTTTTAACATTATTTTTATTCTTCCCACAGTGGAATCTCTAGCACTGTCGCTCATGGCTGGCATGGAACAAAGTTAAATATGCTTACTGTAACAAGGTGCTCAGATTTCTTCTTCATACCTGTACATTTCTGCCATATACAGCAGTGAAGTAAGAATTATTTATTTTGTTCATTTAAAAAACTTGTTCATAGTCTAGAGAAATGGAATATAGATAGTTTTCTTAGGAGATTATTGGAGAGTGTATTGGGTAATGTATATAAGATTTTGTAAATAAGGCAAAGTGAATATAAGCTATTTACTCCTTTATTTCTTAATTTCATCTATTGATTCATGATATTAGTACTTTAAATTAAGTTATTTTATTTGGAAAAATGTAATTATTGATAGTAAAAATAAGTTAATGCTAATTTTTCCTTACTTCTTTATTCTTTTGCTTTTGAGACAGGGTCTCACTGTATAGCCAGGCTTGCTGTGAACTTGTAATCCTCCAGCCTCAGCCTCTCGAGTGCTGGGATTATAAAGTGTGAACTGCCACATCTGGCAAATAAATTGATATTCTTAAGTTTCCTTTCTTTTTCTTTTGCTGCTGATGTTCCTTCATCAAAGGAGTTTTTATGTAGGCACTCTTCTACTCAAGGCACACTCCCAGCCTCAGAGGAGTTTGTAAAATAGAGCTTTACATTTCTTCTTCTGTAACAGTTGCTTAGATTTGACTATCTTAAAAGTGTTCATATTTTTACATGCCTAGGAAGTTAATGGAAATATTGACAATTTTAGTAAATATTTAAAACCAACTTTACATGGAACCAACTGTTGGTGCATATTGTTGTTTGATCAATTTTTGTGAATTCACCAGATATCTCAAATAAAACTGTGCTTACCTTTCAATTTTTTCACATTGTTCTTATTTATTTCTTGATATGAGTGTTAGTTAGTGTTCACCAAACAAGAACAGATGAATCACGTAAATAAAGAAATTCAGTAAGGACATAGTTGATCTGAACATTAGGTGTCTGGATCAAAGTGACATTTATAATTTATTAAAGCCCTCATGCAACCACATTAGAATATACCTGAAGTTTACACAAAATATTACCAATATAGACTGAATTTGAGCATAAGACATACCTTTTACAATGGAAATCAGACAAAGTATACGTTCAGGCCACAATGGCAGGGGCTTTAGGAGGCAGGATTTTTCTGTATCTACAGTGGGGTGAGCCATAGGTCACATAAAAATACAGGATTGATTTGTATTATTTTGTGGCTGGCAGGTAGGTAAAATTTGTTAAGACTGAAGACCGGGTGTAAGTTGGATAGGTTAACTAGCCAAGGAGGATATAACTGGTGAGAGCAAGAGAACTTACTTGTAGGTACCTCTGAGGCTCAGAGATACCAATGCAACACATGAAATTTTAGTCCTTATGATACAAGTTTGTAGTAAGGGTCTTGAAGTCATTCTTTTGCATATGCATAGCTAGTTATCCTAGCATGATTGTTGAAAAGACTATTTTTTCCCCACTGAAATTTTCATATCAATTAATTGTAACAACATGGGATTGTTTCTGCATGCTCAGCTCTTGCATTTAGTTATATGTTTATTCTTAGGACACTGACACACTGTCTGGAAACTGTAGTACAATGATAAATGAAACTAAAAAGAGTCAATGTCCTTGTCTTGCTCTTGACCTAAGGGGAACGCTTTCAGTATTTCAACATTACAGTGTTTTTCTGGCTTTTATAGATTTGAGAATGTTCCCTTCTATTCTTTTATTGTTGAATATTTTTATCATGAAATGATGTTGGATTTTGTGAAATCCAACTATTGAGATGATCTTGTGAACTTTTCCCTTTTTTTCTACTCATATGGTTGTTGATCTATAGAACTGAAGAGAATAAGGCAAGACCTTTAACGTGTTTGAATTTTTCCATGAACTTTTCCTATTCATCTTGTTATTAATTCTTAGTGAACATAAAAATTAGTTAATAGTTGTTAATGTATACCAATTTGGAGTTGGTTTACTTTAACAATTTTGGCACTATCTTTGATTGCATATGTTTAAGTCCTTCACTTTGTTTTCATGTATTTTCCTTGCTGAAGTGTGACCTTTACAAAATTTTCAGCAGTGACGTTGGGTATTAAAATCCTTGTTTTTATATGTCTGAAAGTTTGTCTCTCCTTCTGAGTGCAGTGTTCTTGATTCACTGTTTTCCTTTCATAATTTGGAGATTTTTTTTACTGTTTTTCAACATACAGTGTTGCTGAATACAAATCTGCTTTCAGGATGTTAACCTCATTGTAGAGGATATTGTTGTTTCTGTCCAGAGTTCTGGTATCTCTCTGGTACTTTGGGGTAAGGTACTTTCAGTGCTGGTGCCCAAATAGTTTTTGAAATTTGATCTTTCCTAGTAGGAAATTCTCTTTGATCTTTTACTGTGGTTTAGAATGAGTGACTATTTTGAAGTACATATTACGGGATATTTTTGGGTTTTCAGGCTACTAATGGTATTGTCAGGTGGATCATTTCCTTTGGTAGGATTTTACGATGTGGAGAGAGATGAACAAGAAAACCAGTCAACAAAATGTTTAACCTGATGCTTCAACTTGTGTGCATCATCTCCTCTCATCACACACCCTGCCAGGGAGTGATTGTGCCCTTCAACAAATGAAGAAACTGAGGGTAAGGGAAGGAAATGGCTGACAAGATGTGAGAACAGAGGTTGTTCCTGGAGCCATTCTGCTTCAATAGTTAGCCCTGCCTAGCAACCAAACTGAGCCTTGCTGCTTGCTTGCTATGTCTTTAGTATTTTGCCTGTGTAAAATGAAGCCAATAAACGTATTCTTTGTTCATTATGGGGTATTTTCATTTGATTTTTTTCTTGTACAAAATTACAGGTTTCATTATGACATTTACATATATGTGTAAAATGTATTTATTCAGCCAGTCACCATCTGTTGTCCCCTCCTATGTAGCCTTTCCCTTCAAGTAGTCCTTTAGATTCATGACTTTGTATATGTGTGTCTAAATTGCACACATAAGAGAAAACATTCAGTATTTGTCTTTTTTTGAGTCTGACTTACTTTGCCAGTTCCATTCATTTTGCTGTAAATTATATAATTTCATTCTTTATAGCTGAATGATATTCTCTCTCTCTCTATATATATATGTATGTATATACACACACACATACAACACATTTTTTTAAATTTTTATTTTATTCATATGTGCATACAATGTTTGGGTCATTTCTCCCCCCTTCCCCCACCCCCTCCCTTATCCCCCTGCCCCCTCCCTCTCCCCTCCACCTCCTCGCTATCCGGCAGAAACTATTTTGCCCTTATCTCTAATTTTGTTGAAGAGAGAGTATAAGCAGTAATAGGAAGGACCAAGGGTTTTTGCCAGTTGAGATAAGTATACCTATACAGGGAGTTGACTTGCATTAATTTCTTGTGCATGTGTGTTACCTTCTAAGTTAATTCTTCTTGAACTAACCTTTTCTCTATTTCCTGGTCCCCCTCTCCTATTGGCCTCAGTTTCCCCAAAGTATCTGCTTTAGTTTCTCTGCGTTGAGGGTAACAGATGCCTATCTAGTTTCTTAGGTGTCTTACCTATCCTCATACCTCCCTGTGTGCTCTCGCCTCATCATGGGATCAAAGTTCAATCCTCTTGTTGTGTTTGCCCTTGATCTAATGTCCACATATGAGGGAGAACATATATTTTGGTCTTTTGGGCCCGGCTAACCTCACTCAGAATGATGTTCTCCAATTCCATCCATTTACCAGCGAATGATAACATTTTGTTCTTCATGGCTGCATAAAATTCCATTGTGTATAGATACCACATTTTCTTAATCCATTCGTCAGTGGTGGGGCATCTTGGCTGTTTCCAAAACTTGGCTATTGTGAATAGTGCTGCAATAAACATGGGTGTGCAGGTGCCTCTGGAGTAACCTGTGTCACATTCTTTTGGGTATATCCCCAAGAGTGATATTGCTGGATCATATGGTAGATCAATATTTAGCTTTTTAAGTAGCCTCCAAATTTTTTTTCAGAGTGGTTGTATTAGTTTACATTCCCACCAGCAGTGTAAGAGGGTTCCTTTTTCCCCGCATCCTTGCCAACACCTGTTGTTAGTGGTGTTCCTAATGATGGCTATTCTAACGGGTGTGAGGTGGAATCTTAGTGTGGTTTTAATTTGCATTTCCTTTATTGCTAGAGATGGTGAGCATTTTTCATGTGTTTTTTGGCCATTTGAATTTCTTTTGAGAAAATTCTGTTTAGTTCACTTGTCCATTTCTTTATTAGTTCATTAATTTTGGGAGAATTTAGTTTTTTAAGTTCCCTGTATATTCTGGTTATCAGTCCTTTGTCTCATGTGTAGCTTGCAAATATTTTCTCCCACTCTGAGGGTGGTCTCTTCAGTTTATAGACCATTTCTTTTACAACACATTTTCTTTAGCAGTTCAGCAGCTGATTGGTGCTTTCTCTTGCTATTGATGTTTAATTTTATTTATTATCATCTAAGAGAAACCAACAAATTAATCTTCTTATATTTGTTAAGACTTTATGGTCTAACGCTGGAAAGAGGGTGGGGCGCCCTGAGCGCTGAAGATTGGGGGAAGGGAATCCTTCCCGGGACTGTAAATAAACGAGCCGGGCGGGCCGGAGAGCCTCTGGCGGGAATGGGGCGCACGCCCAGCAACCAGGAGCGGGGAGCTTGTGAGAGGAGGGAAGACCCACTTCCCAGTGAACTGTAAATAAACACGCAGGCCTGACAACGCGGGGCAGTGTCACCTTTCCCAGTGCTTGGAAAGGGGAAAGCCTGTAGCAGAGGCCCCCCGCACAGGAGAACTCTGAGCAAACAAAGCCTGTGGGACCAGGTGAGTCCTAGCTCACCCCAGAGATCTGCATAAATAACGCCGCCAGCTACAGGCTGAGAGCAGCAGGCAGGCAAGCCACAGTTGCAGATACCACTCTCAGAACTGCCTCCAGACGCTTTTTTTTCTTTTTCTCCCTACCTTTGATGAGAGAACAACCGAATTACACGTGCAAGCCGAAAAACTTACTGAAACTGTATTGCATTTGAACTGGGGACACTTGGTGGGGCTTTTTTTTTTTTTTTTTGTGTGTGTGTGTGTAGTGTTTGTTTCTACTTTATGCATCCCTTTGATGAGACAACTACAGAACAACATCTGAGGCACCAACTCCAGGACTGGAGATTGAGACGGACATCCAAATTATTAAGACTGAAACTGCATTGCATATAAACTTGGAAGTTTTTGGTTTTTTTTTTTTTTTTTTTAATTTTCTATTTTCCATTTTATTTTAATTCATTTTTATAATAGATATTACTTTCATATACTTATTTTTTATTTTTTTTATCTTTGATTTTCAATCCTCTCTCTGTCTCTCTATGTCTGTTCAGCTTACTGTCGATTAGTACACTAACACTCCCTGTTTATACCTTTGAAACTCTCTTGTCTGATACCTTGTTCTGCTTTCTCCCTCTTGTCTGTATATTTGTTTTCCCCTTTTCTTTAACTTCTTGCTTTCCATCTCAGCTCACTCTTCCATTCTAAATATTACCATTGTTATTATTACAAGCTAGAAAATACTTAATTGCACACAGTACAGGGACAGTAACAACACCAAGGACAATGACAGGAAGACAGAAAAAACAGGGAAACCAGTTTCCCCACAGCAAAAAATTAGTACAGGAACCAGAGGGGAATGAAGAGAACAGAAACTCAGATCCAGACTCCAACAAAATGAAGATAAACTATGCCAAAGGACCCAATGAAGCCCACAAGAATAATTTAAAAGAAGACATACTACAAGTACTCAATGAGAATTTTATAGAGATGATACTG